GGTGCTAAAATATAATCCAGACTCCAGATCTTCCTAAAGGCTGTCCATGAAATGTGAGGTAAATCAAGGATCTCGATCAATTACAATGGATGAGGGAACGCCATGAAGTCGAATAATCTCATCAACATATAGGTGAGCTAATTTGCTAATGGAGTCAGTGGTTCTGATGAGCAAAAAATGGGTGGTCTTGGTTAGTCTGTCAACGCTGACTCAAATAGAATCTCGGCCAGAATAAGTCCTGGGCAATCCACTAAAAAAATCTATAGTTATATGCACCCACTTCCATTTTAGAATCGGGAGGCCTTGTAACTAATCGTCGGGTCTCTGGTGCTCTGCTTTAATCCTCTAATAAGTGAGGCATCGGAAGACGTAGTCGACTATGTCCTTCTTCATTTCAGCCACTAGTATTGATGCTTCAAGTTCTGGTACATCTTAGTACTCCCGGGATGGATGGATAGCTTAGAAGTATGGGCGCTCTTGAGAACATCCGCCCTTACAGCAACAGGGACACAAATTCAGTTATGAAATTTAAACAGTTCATCATTTAAAATCCTAAAATTAGGAAATTCATCAAAAGAGAACTTACCTAGATTCTTGGTGAATTTCGAGTCCGTAGATTAAGCTTCCCTTATTTTAATAAAGAGATCCGATAGGGCTCGGATATGAGAAAGATAGGTGTCTTTATCATAGTAGCTAAGACATAGAGACTACATAGTATCTATCAATTTCTAACTGGAGGCCATGGTTTGGGCCAGCACTGCGAACTCCTTTTAGCTTAGTGCATTGACAGCTACATTTTTTCTTTTAGGGTGATCGATGATCTTGCAGTCATAGTCCTTTAGGAGATCCATCTAGTGTCTCTGTCTCATATTTAACTCCCTCTGCAAGACTACTTCAAACTCTTGTGGTCAATGTAAATCTCAAAAGTCTGATCAAATAGGTAATGACACTATATCTTCAGGGCAAAGATAGTGGCCGCCAACTCCAAATCGTGGGTAGGGTAGTTTTGCTCATGAGGTTTCAATTATCGGGACCCATGAGCGACCACTCTACCCATGCTGCATCAAGACACACCCCAAGCCAATATGAGATACATCGGAGTAGACCTGAAATCTTCCTGTATTGTCAGGAAGGATCAACACAAGAGTAGAGGAAAGACGACGCTTCAATTCCATAAAGCTCTCATTGCACTCATAATTCCAAATATATGGTACGCCCTTTCCGATCAGGTCAATGGAGTAGTAATCTTAGCAAATTTGTCAATAAATTATCGGTAGTAACCTGCCAAACTAATGAAACTACGTACCTCGGCCACATTGGTGGGCGAATTCCAGTTGACTATTTTTTTAATCTTGGACAGATTCACAGAAACTCCTTCACTCGAAATTACATGATCGAGAAAGAAAACTCGATCCAACCAGAAGGAGCATTTGCTAAGTTTAGTATACAGTTGGTTCTAGCAAAGGGTCTCCAACATTTTAGTCAAGTGTACTGCATGTTCCCCTAGGCTCTTGGAGTATACTAAGATGTCATTAATAAATATGATGACGTACTAATCTAGTGCGTGTAGGAAACTCTGTTCATGAAGTCCATGAAGGTTGCAGGAGCATTGGTTAACCCGAATAACATTACCCTGAACTTGTACAAATCATACCTGCACCAGAAAACAGTCTTCGAAATATCTTCTTCTATGACTCTCAATTGGTGGTATCCGATGTTGAGGTCAATTTTAGAGAAAACTGTGGCTTATTATAGTTGATCAAAAAGGTTGTCGATCCGATGTGAGGGGTACTTGTTTTTAACTGTCACTAGGTTGAGTTCCTGGTAATCCACACAGAATCTGAGAGAATCATCCTTCTTTTTTACGAACAATACAGGAGTGCCCTAAGGAGAATGATTAGGGCGGATAAACTTCCAGGGTGATTAGTTTAGAAAGCCGATTTTCTAGTTCTGCAAGCTCAGCACGACTCATACGATAGGCAGGCTTCAAGATTAGTTGGGCTTCGGACAACAATTCAATTAGGAACTCTACTTCTCGTGGGGGAGGTAAATCAGGAAGTTTGATGGAAAAAACATCCGAAAAGTTGCAAACAATCGATATGGAACACACAACAGGATCATCAACCATATTCCTGTTTATTCAATTATTAGAAAAATAATAACAATAGATTTTATTCTTTTTTCGGGGACTGCAAAGTTACAATTTTACTTTCATAATCGATTATTGCTTTATACTTTTCTAACCAATCTATTCTTAATATCACATCAAATCCTAAAAAATCTAACAATATTAAATTCACAAATACTTCTGTCCCTGAAGCTTTTATCTTACAATCTTTATATACTTAATGAGCTTTTAATAATCCCCTAGAGGGAGTTTCTACCGCCGAAATTTTCGCTAAATTTTCTGGACTAAAATCAAGATTATAAGTAAATGCACATGAAATAAAAGAGTGAGTAGCACCTATATTGATCAAAGCCTTGGAAGAAGTATCATGAATAGAAAATATAACCTGGATAAGAACAGAAGTGCGGAGAGCACCGGGTTCATCTAGGTGG